CTGGGGAATTCTGGGAGTTGAAGTCCACACATCTTAAAGTTGCCAAGTTTGAAGAACACTGCTGTCAATGAATCCTTATAATCATCCCTGGTGCAAAAAACGTGACTTGATTTTGAGGAGGAAGAGTCACAAATACTGCTTTTCTGCAGCTTTCTTGAGCTTCAATTGCTATACGACCTGTGTAGCTGATACTACTAATATGTGAAGTTCGTGGCCAACCACATGAGAATTAATGCAAAATGGCGCTTTGAAGCTGTTTTTCCCCGAAGAGCGGACAATCCCATCTGCTGCTGAAGGATCCCAACACATGGTACAGGATTCTGGGACACGTGGTTAAAACAAACATGTTAGAATAGGAACACTAGATTTATCCTTCTAACCAGACAATGCTTACACGGGGTCCTAAGTAGAAACTTAATATAATAATAGACATGGGGTATCTGTAGGATCCATTGGAAGGCTTGTAATGATGAAGACAGAAAGATCTCTGATGGAACAGGAGAACCTATTCCAAGCAACCACATAAACAAGGTAGGGCGAGCAGTTGCTATAATTTCACTGACAAACTCCCAATAAGTCACTGGAGTACAGATATTGTGGCAACTGATTCTTATGATAGAGGAAATTCTTCTCTGCAGACCTCCTCATTCCAAAATAAAATGTCTAGTTTTCCATCATAAATATCTAGTGAATGCTATACTCCATCTAACCCTGGCAGACAAATAACCCTCCCCACAGGACATTTAAAAAATGCAACAACCCTGCATGTTTAAAAAAGACAAGTAACCATCACTCGAAAAGGAAACCAGCAGCGGTACAGCCAGCCCATTAACTCTCCAGGTGTAGTTCTGAAGGACCCATAGCCCGGGAAGGTATCTTCATAAATCCATTCTTTAAAATTCTTTAAAAGAGCGGATGTGTTATTCTCCAATGTTCCCCTTAATATGGGAATGATTGAGGGACACGGGTTTTACAAATGAATATTAGATTTCTGTCAAGGTTCAGTTGTTGCCTGGTCCATTTACTTGGTCTACAAATCCTGCAGAACGTGATGTAACGTTGGAATGGAAAGTTGTATTACTTCATACGAACCAGAAAGTACCTTTGGCAGCATCGGCACTTAAATCTGCCACCCCAAACAAACTCCAGAAGCAGAAATTACTTGTATCCTGCAGAATAGTTCACAGAACTTTTCAATCCAAAACTTTTCCCAGGTCTGGTGGCTCCAAGAAATTATCTGGATGTTGTCCAGAAGTGCTCTCGGCAAAAAAAAATCTTCTCAGAAAGACTAGATGCTTTCTAACTTCTTAGCAGCTTTGCAAAGAAGCAACAGGCATATTTGGTAATGATATCTTTCTTTTTACAAGATGAGAGCATTCAGTAGGAAATTCTGGAACCACCAAAGTTTGCTTTCCCCATGATTTGTTAGACAAGCCATAAGGTCCTGGTTCATATACATGCTAAACCATCACCCACAGTTCATGATCCTCAACGGACACCATGCTAAGCCAAAATCAAAGAAACCTCATTAGGGCTGAGTAGGATGAATGTGAATTCAGCCACTAATTACAGATGGGAAAAACCTGTTGCTTCAATACATTCATACCCATGTAGCATGGAACTCCTGAAGACACCACAAACTTTGCAAGCTCAGCAAGATACCTTCGAGAACAAAAGCTATATTTCTATACGTGCTCCAAGCAAATATTAAAACCGAGAGAAGCAGATCGTCAAAGTACGAGGCCCACCATCAGGAAAACAGGAGCGCAGCTGGAAGATAGCTGTGCAACGAATGCATTTAGATCTTTTTAAAAGGTTGGCCTCTGCAGATGAAGCCAAGATAGAGCAGCAAGTCTCCATCCCAAGCATGAAGAACTTTTAGCCATCTCCCTTCTCTAGAGAGATGTTCGGACTCATTTGATGGAGGAAAATCTATTTGTAGAGCTGTAGGTGCTTCTGGGCCATGAAATCTTAGGAAAAGACAAGGCCCAGGAGGGACTCAACTGCAGATGTTTTATGCATTTGAATGAGAACGTGCTAGCAGATGGTGGCTGTTTTTCAGCATGATGCCCTATGTATGAGAGTCAATGGGCACACAGCTGTTGGGCAATGTGATATTTTCACCCTATTCACCATACTTCTACCCCTCTCAAAATGCCCTCCTAGGGAGGAAGGACATCCCCAGTCCTTGATGGGCAGGAGAACATCCAAGCCTTCTCCCAAATAATGTTACTGATCCTTTCAGCTAATGGGACTCTGATCCACAGGCATGACCACCCATCCTTGATACACTACCAAAGAAGAAAAAAGAAAATTCCTGGCAACAGAGCCTTAAATATACTCTTCTCAGCCTACCCCACTCCTGGAAGAGATCAATGCTTCTGCTCCTTCTGTTCTTGCTATCATACTGAAAGGGCTGTGACAAGAATATGGTTCTGATGACTAATTCCCTTTATACCCTCAAGCTATAAATATCAGCCAAAGAGACATTCTAGGCTATATTAAGTCTCCAACTAGCAAAGGGGGTGGGTGGGTGGATGGGTACCGAAAGGG